ACTATGGTGAGTTAGTAGCCTTGAGAGAAAAGGCGGGATATAAATGTATTTCGTATATATTGCTGAAAATGGATTGTTCAATTTTCAGATTTCACTGTGTTTCCTGCAAGGAGAAACAATTCTCCTCTTGCCTGTTTTTTCAGAGTTACTCACACAAAACCACTGTCCATTTACTCTTCCCTTTGCAAATAAATTCTACTACTCTGCTGCCACCTTCACAACCCAGGACCAGCCAAAGCCACTACAAAGGAAATATACTTTCCTCTTCCTCCTCCTTCTCAACAAATCAAACTGAAAACTGAAGTGACAGCTGAGTTTTACTTCACCCTCAAAACTGTACTATAGTTGTATTTTGGGAGGGAGGGGCATAATAGGTCATGGGGCAATAACAGTCCCTTCGGGGAGTTAGAGTGCTCTATAAATAAAGTTTATTTATTTATTTATTTATATTCACATACATTTATACAGGAAGTCCCCAAGTCATGAACAAGATACGGTCTATAGGTTTGTGTTTATGGTGAAATTTGTATGTACAGCATAACAGATACATACACACACACATACACACATGCTTTGGATAGCATAGGGAAGCGTTAACACCCCTGTGGTGTTTGTTTTGCTGCGTGTGCCCCTGTTCAGAAGATTCCCCCTCACTGTGTGTCCCTGTGATAATTGCATTTTGAAAAATTGTGCTTGTTGTGGAAACATGGATCGGTGCTAAAGCTTCAGTGGAGACACCTTTTCCTCATGGTAACTCTTCCAGGAGTGAATTTCCCTTCCAAGGGATACATTTGTCTCACTTCCTGTTATCTCATCCCCATTCATAACTATGAGTCATTTGCAAGTCAGATGTTTGTACTTTGGGGACTGCCTATCTATGCAAACACAGGTACCCCAGAATCAAAACCCAAAACATTTATGATCCCAAGTATTTTGGACAAGGGATATCAAACCTGTATCACATACATGCTAACACAACCAAGATCATTAACACAAGCTTTCATCAATCTGATTTAATAATCTTGAATCCAGATTCCAATACATGCTTGTAACAACAATCCTTTATAGTCCTATAAAGTCTCCCTAAAATTAAGACCTCTATGAACTCCATTTGAACATGAAAGAGAATTCGGCAATGCCTTCAAGATGGAATCCTATGCCTACTCGCCTTGGAGGAGGTTCCACTGAAGGAGGCTCATATTTCTAAATAGAAGGTTACACTTATAAAGAGAGCAATCAAATACCATTTAAAATATATACACCCATCTGTCAAATTAACTAAAGTCCTCCCACTTACTGTCACATCCACAAAAAATTGAACATTTCCCCATTCAGGATGTCCCGAGCACCAACATAATCCATTTTTCATATCATCTACCAATGCTTAAGGAACTTACTTTGGAGTAACGTATCCTGAAATTCCCCAGGCAATACACCCACTAGCCAGATTCTGGGATTTGTAGTCCAAGGACCTCATCAAGGATCTATTTTTTACTTTGCTCCTGCAGAACGCTATGAGCATTACTATTCTCCTTCTGACAAATGCCTGCACCAACAGTGGTAGGCAATAACACCTTGTGTGTTGTCGAAGGCTTTCACGGCCAGAATCACTGGGTTGCTGTGAATTTTCTGGACTTTATGGCCATGTTCCAGAAGCATTCCCTCCTGACGTTTTGCCCACATCTATGGCAAGCATCTTCATTGGAAATATACCTCACAACCTCCAAGGATGCTTGCCATAGATGTGGACAAACCGTCAGGAGAGAATGCTTCTGGAACATGGCCATACAGCCCAGAACACTCAGAGCAACACAGTAACTCCTTTTACTTTTAAATTAGGAGCAGATTTAATAAAAGATGGTGAATATCATAAACTGCAAAACCAAATCGCTTGCTTTCCCTGCTCCAGCTCTGAGCCTGAAGACTTATGAGAGTGCATCTATACTGCAGAATTAATGCAGTTTGGCACCACGTTAACTGCCACAGCTTAATGCTATGAAATCCTGGGAGTTGTAGTTTTACAAGGTCTTTTGCCTTTTGTGTCAAATAGTGTTTGTGCCTCACCAAACTACAGCTCACAGAATTCCATACCATTGAACCATGGCAGTGGAAGGGTCAAACTGCATTCATTTGACAACATAAATATACCTACCCAACAAAACCCAGTCACACACAGCCCAGGCTGTTTGTACATAGCAATAGGAGCAGAAATAATGGACACACCAATAGCACTCTGCACACAACTGGTTCACAACATGAACAAGCAAGGCCCTGTAATGGGGATGGGATCAGCCACAAAGTTTTGTGTGGGATGGGGAGGGATGTGAATTAAGTAGGGTTTAGGTATCAGAGGTCAGGAAAAAAGAATTCATGACACAGGAATGGTTAGTATTACAAAGCAAAGAACGGGTCTAGAAAGGCTACTGCAGTGTGCTTGGGAGAGGAGGGCTACACATCCCATTAAGATGCATATCAGAAGGAAGTGGGGGCAGCCAGCCAGGGCACTTGGTTGCTTCCACAGATCTGAAGCAAAGCATAATAAAGTCCCCTTTTGGGACCACAGCTACCACAATCCACCCTAGACATTGACTAGGCAAGGTGGGAGAACCCACTAGGCACCCTGGCTGAAGGATCCCGGGAGTTGCAGTCCCAAAAGGAACTCTTTCCGGCTCTGATGCTCAGAAAGTGTGGGAGCAAGAAGGCAGCCCTGGAAATCTGAGCTTTTAGGGGTGGGACGGGGACGTATCATTGCCTGGAATCAAACAGGGAGGAAAATGGAAAAAATGAACCCACTGGAAGGAGGGGGCTCAGTGTTGGGCTTCCTGTGCAGAGCGGATAGGGGGAAAAAAGCACAGCCTCTCTTAACCAGGAAGCCCCCACCCACCCAGATGTGGGAGCTTTCTTCATTCCCAGCCAGCACCGCTAGGGATGAGGGCAGTTGTTGCACAGCACATCTGGAGACATCAGACTGGGCAAGGGAAGGGATGAGACAAGAAAGATGCTATCTATCTACATATTTACACGGGGAATTGACAAGGATCCGATCTGGCCATGATAAAGGAACAGAAAGAGTGGTTCCCGGAGGAAATATGCCAGAAAGGAACGATATACTTTGACCCAGCCCAGAACAGATTCTTTCAAGAGTGGGATGGTTTGGGAATCTGTCCCAACCAGGGATGGCAGAATATTTAAAAATAAACTACTGAGGGATAAAAACAAACTTGTAAGAACTAGAAAAAGGGGGAGGGGTCAGGGGAGCAATTAAATCTGAAATCATCTCTAAGATCTGACTAAAAAGAGGCGCTGGGGTAATCTCAAAGGAGACTTCGGGTGCATCTATGGCCCCTTCCACAGAGCTGTATAAAATCCACATTGAACTGGATTATATGACAAAGTGGGCTCAGATAATCCGGGTCAAAGTAGATATTGTGGATTTTTTTCACATGTCAGGAGCGACTTGAGAAACTGCAAGTCACTTCTGGTGTGAGAGAATTGGCTGTCTGCAAGGACATTGCCCAGGAGACGCACAGATATGTTACCATCTCATGGGAGGCTTCTCTCATGTCCCTGCATGAGAAGCTGGATCTGACAGACAGGAGCTTGCTCCACTCCCTGGATTTGAACTTTTTTTTTGTCGTGTCAGGAGTGACTTGAGAAACTGCAAGTCGCTTCTGGTGTGAGAGAACTGGCCGTCTGCAAGGATGTTGCCCAGGGGACGCCTGGATGATTTGATGTTTTTATCATCCTTGTGGGAGGCTTCTCTCATGTCCCCGCATGAGGAGCTGGAGCTGATAGAGGGAGCTCATCCGCCTCTTCCCAGATTCAAACCTGCGACCTGTCGGTCTTCAATCCTGCCAGCAAAGGGGTTTAACCCACTGCGCCACCGGGGGCTCCATGGATTTGAACTGTCAACCTGTCAATCGACCAGTCCTGCCGGCACCAGAGACTTATTGTGGATTATCTGCCTTGATATTCTGGGTTATATGGATGTGTGGAAGGGCCCTACGTTGTAGGATTGACACAGTCTGTCACCACTTTAATTGCCATGGCCACTTTGATTAGCATTTAATGGCTTTGCAGCTTCAAAGCTTGGCTGCTTCCTGCCTAGGGGAATCCTGCTGCTAATCAAGGTGGCCAGTTGCAACATTCACACCTGTCTCAAACAGACAAGAGTCCTTTTTCCCATCCTGGACCTTCCACAGATATATAAACTTCACTTTCAGATTTTCCAACAGACCTCACAACCTTTGAGGATGCCTGCCATAGATTCAGGCAAAAAGTCAGAAGAGAATGCTTCTGGAACATACCCAAACAGCCATGAAAACTCACAGCAACCAGGTGATTCTGGCCATGAAAGCCTTGGCACCCTCCCACACGGCCCTATATCCCAGAATATCAAGGCAGAAAAATCCCACAGATAACTGGGTTATCTGTGTCCACAGACAGATAATCTGGGATTCTCTGCCTTGATATCCTCCTCCTGGGATATAGGGCTGTGTGGAAAGGCTCACAAAGTTTGACACCCTTTGGTTCAGTACTGTGGCATAATCCTGGGAGCTGTAGTTTTCCGCCTTCCGTGCCAAAGAGCGCTGCTAATAAATAACCCACCGAAGTGCAGATGCTCGGATGCCACGGCAGGGAAAGTGCCACTCAACTGCATGGACTGGGTAGTAGTAGTAGTAGTAGTAGTAGTAGTAGTAGTAGTAGTAGTAGTGAAGGGAGACCTTTTGAACTCCTTGTTAAGAGTGGCATAGAAATACAACAACAACAAAGCGCGTGGAGCAAAGGCAGAGAGAGGACCGAGGGGAGGAAGCAGGAGAAGCGATAGAAGGAGAAAGAGAGAGAGAGAGAAGACGAAGAAGAAGCCCAAGAGGGAGAGAATGGGAAGAAAGGGATGCAGGGCTGGGGAAGTTGCGGGAGGAGGAGGAGGAGGAATGGGGCGGGAAGGGCTGCCCGCCCGGGGAAGGCCCCCTCCCTCCCTCGCTCTCGGTGTGTCTCACCAGCACCATAGCGAAGCGCTCCTCCAGCTCGCCCTGGTCCGGCATGGGCACCTTCCCCGGGGGCAGCAGGGGCTGCAGCATCCCCGGGTCCCCGCCGGGACCCCCGCCGCTCTCCGCGTTCCCCATCCCCGGCTCAGGAGCCAGGCGGAGCCCTCCTCCTCCTCCCTCTCCTCCTCCTCCTCCTGCTCTCCTCCTTCCTTTGCGCCCGCCCGCCCGAAGGGGAGGAGGAAGGAGGAGGAGGAGGGAGGCCGCTGCAACAGCCCCGCCCCTCCTCCTTCTTCTTCCAGGAGCGCTTTCCCCTCCGAGGAGGAGGAGGAGGAGGAGGAGAGGAATCAGCGGGGCCATTTTGGGCGGGAAAGGGACCCGCTCCCCCAGCAACACGAGGAAGCGCAGGAAAACTTCTGGGGAATGGGCTCCCCTCAGTCCTCAAAGAGAGAAAGGTATGGAAACATCCCCGGCAGTGGGGTGCGGCCCGCGCTCCCAAACCCCAGGCAAGGCACCCCATCCACATCTTTGGTGGTTCAGTCCTTCAGTCAGTCACCTCATGGACCAGCCCACGCCAGAGCTCCCTGTCGGCCGTGGCCACCCCCAGCTCCTTCAAAGTCAAGCCAGTCACTTCAAGGATGCCGTCCATCAGGCCTGGGGGGGGGGGTTAGGGGTTCAACCCCCCCCCCCCCCGAAATGTTTCAGATTTTTTTTAAAACCTGATTTACTCATGAATTTTAACTGGTTAACCTAATCCCCATGCTAAGTCTATGAGATGCAAAAAATTAAGAGTCCCTCCAGAACTGTAAGTGATGTCAGGCACCCCCCCCCCTCAGAATTAAGGGATAAGGACTTATAGTTCTGCAAAGGGCAAGGTCACCAGACTACACAACAAGGGTTAAGTCTTGGTCACATTGCCAAGGCACTGACAACAACAAGGACCCCACGAGGCTTTTTGGGAAATGGCTGGATCTTGGGACTTCTGCCCTTTTGTGAGAGTTGTAGTTCCCCAAGGGCTGAGCGATGGATTCTGTTATTGATCAACTCAGCGCCCATCTGCTGATTCCAGCCTGAATCCATGACTCTCTGCTGAGTGGACTGGACTGTTTGCCACAACCCTGGCCATGAACTTTCTATCAATGCTTGATTTGAACTGCTAGCAACCTCTGCTTCCACACGCCCTTCCTAAGAGCATGGGATTTCCAGTTTGGACCTTAATAAAGATCAAATATTGAAATAAACTTTATGGGGTGGGAAGGGGTTCCTCTTCTGTTCTAACTCTGTATCAGCGATGCCTATTGCCTATGATTTTGATATATGTATGTAACCTTATGAATTTCCTCTGTACCCTTGTCCCCTTGACCCACAAAAACTGCTGTGACCAGGAACTGCCTGAGGGAGGGCTCCAGCCTCTCCCTCAATCACCCTTGATTAATTCACCAGCATGGACAATACTGTTGATCCCCAACCCTGGCCCTCGGAGCAAGACCAGCAAGGGGAGGGGGTCAACAGAAACTCGGAAAGAAAAGATTGATTAAATCATCAAGATATCGTTGATCCCCCCTGAGGTCCGATATCGAAAAAGCCTTTTCATATTTCCTTCAAATCCCATCACAGACCAGGAAACCCATTATTCCCTTATCTCACACCCTGCCAGTGAGGACAAAAGCCTCACATTCCAGCTGGCGGATGCCCCTAAGCTCATCATTTCCTCAGCCATTGTCAAGCTTCGTCCCGCCTCCTAGCTGCTGATTGGCCCATCTTCAGAAGCGCTAGGAAGGCACTGATTGGCCCCCCAGAGGCGGCGGAGCCCGCTGATTGGTCCGGGGGCGAGGCGTGCCGCCAAGCCTCCTCCCAGCTGTTCTGCGGCCAGCCAATCAGCACGAAGCCGGCCGGCAGAGGGCGGGCGGGAATTTTGAAACTGTTTCCCTTTGTCTGCATGCTATAAATATGCCTGTATTCTTTGTACTGGTATGCTTGCAGCGGAATGATTCCTGCAATGCATCTGATCTCAGCTGAATCACGAATAAACCTCGGTTGCTGGAAACTTCTTCCACCTTGATGAGGCATTATTATTTGTAACATTTTTACTCTTTGGATTGGCTTTCGCTGGCCTCACCAAGGTTCCAGGGCCCTTTTGAGCGGTCCTCAGGGATCTCCTCCGCCGGGACTGGGCGACTTGGAAAGCGCTGAACAGACTGCGCTCTGGCACCACGAGATGCAGAACCAACCTTAAGAAATGGGGCCACAAAGTGGAATCCTCGACATGCGAGTGTGGAGAAGAGCAAACCACAGCCCATCTGCTGCAATGCAACCTGAGCCCTGCCACATGCACAATGGAGGACCTTTTTATAGTAACACCAGAGGCACTCCAAGTGGTCAAAGGACATTTAATCAACTACCAAGCTTGCAAACTTTGTTGTTTGTTTGTTTGTTTGTTAAAAAATACAATACAACTGTTTGGCTTGCTCCTGACACGATAAATAAATAGCATCATAGAGGACCACATTTTAAAACCAAGTAGTCATTTATAGTTGTTATGCATGTATGAAATAAAACTTATCCTTAGGATTATTTGAGGAAATCTTGAGGGTTCCAAGATACAAAAAGAACTGCCGAACTCTTCTGTGTTTTTCTCATACTTTTATATTTGAATAACACTGTTAGCTATAAATAATTAGAATTGCACTTTGTTTCATAAATTACACTAACAACGAAATCCTAAATTAGTACGGTCTCCATGTTGGTTCCACATCTACAAAACAAATGCTATAAAAATTGGCCACAGTGCTAGAGTGGTCAACAAATACTTTTCTCACAATTCATGAATCGCAAGCAGAAAGGAATCGCTCCAGCGTCAACAAAGTAAACACAGCCGTAGACACCCCTGCACTTAAAAAAAAGTCTCCGGGTGCTTCTCATCTTCTGCAATGGAGCTTGTTTTTGAAAATGGTATACGGAAACAGCTGTGGAAATGGTAATGCTTTGGGATGTGCAGCTTAAAGCCAACTGTTTTATGATTTGCTTAAAGGGAAGCCCAGCTCAGGAGCCAATGGTTTCTGGAAGATCTGGTGGAGGCTGTGAAACCCCTCTGGATCATAGATGGCAATCTTCCACATTTCAACAACCACAGCGAGCTGGGGCAGCTTCTCATCCAAAACATTGGCATATAGTGTTGGCATCTCTGTTACCTGAGTGCAATTGTGTGCACGCAAAAAGTATCTCAGTACCCGGCTGACAGCTACAAAAACTTAGTGTTCTTAGCAGTCCTGTATGCCTTCCTGCAAAATGCTATGTTAAAAAAGCACTGGTGGTCAAACCACACACACAGCTTAAATGGGACGTCCTTGCAATTTAAGGCATTAACAATGAGCATGCCTCGGTCTTCATCTGCAACATTTTGGAGGCAATGCCAGGGAGAGAACTCGACTGCCAATACATGATTACAAGGATTGTCTCAAGGATCATGGCAGCTACCAGGACATCTGTAGAGTGGGGGAAATGGTACTGGGTTGTAGGTTTTTTCGGGCTATATGGCCATGGTCTAGAGGCATTTTCTCTTGACGTTTCACCTGCATCTATGGCAAGCATCCTCAGAGGTAGTGAGGTCTGTTG